CTGGGGCCTTAGCCCAGAACATGTACATCATGGCAAGGCCCCTACTTGAGGGCTCAATCCTCACATTCCATCCCCCTTAGCTTCGAAAGTCCGCTGAGATGCTTACTTCGCAGGTGCTTCCCTTTTAGCTTCCGTTCATAATCTGCCACGACCTGAGGAGCTGTTTCCATCAGTTCCTCCCGGGTAAACCACCGATCTTCTTTAGGATCCGTATGATGCCTGAATCTGATCCTGTATTCCCTCTTGGGTTTAGGAGGTCTTCCTCGACCCAGCGGCTTCGGAACAGGCATATCCTTGTGATCCACAATGTCGTCGATGTCGACTTGTCCATCCATGGTTGGGGGCAGCATCGATCTCCTGGAAGGGAATTGATCAGTCTCAGCGAAAGGTGCAAGCTTTGAGGCATGAAAGACTGGGTGAGTGCGTAGGTGTCCAGGGACACGAATGACATATGTGGGACCATCCGACTCATCTCCCACTACATCCAAGACTTCCCACGGACCAAAGTATTGAGGCATTAGTTTTCGAGATATTCTGAACTCCTGTCCTAACTCACTAGCCTTGACCCAGACACGTTCCCCTACGTGAAATGTGGACTGTCTGCGATGTTGATTCTCAGAAGCAATCATGGCTTGCTAAGCTTTCTTCATATGTTCAACAACATCTTGCAGCAACTTCTCATATTGCACACCATATTCAAGTGTGCCTGGAGTTGCAGCGGGTCGGTTTTCAGGTAGGAGGAAGTCTAATGCTGATCTAGGCTTCCATCCTAAGTGCAGCTGGTTAGGACTAACGCCGGTACTACTATGTATAGCATTGTTGTACAGGCTGGCGATGAGAGGTAACTGCTCATTCCAGTCATCCTGGCTGGGCTTGATGTAATGCCTCAGCAAGTGCTGTACAACTCTATTCATTTGTTCGGCCTGTCCGTTGGCTTCGGGATGATTCCCTGAAGTCATCTGAAGTTGACTGCCCATCTGTTCCGCAGTCTTCTTCCACAGCTCACTTGTGAACCGGACGTCTCGGTCACTAATGGTAGTCTTTGGTAAACCAAAGTCCCTTACCCAGTTGTCCTTGAACAACTTGATGCCGTATTCTGTCCTAGCTGTCTCTGGCATTGGAATTAGTCTAGCGTACTTGGTGAATCGGTCAATGATGACGAAGATGTGCCTCTTACCACTCTTGCTGGTCACAAGGGTGTCCATGAAATCCATGGAAACACTCAATCCTGGACCATCAGGAATAGGTAAAGGCTTCTATAACCCAAGCGGTGCTTGAGTTCGCGGCTTGTCCCGCTGACAGACTTGACAGGTGTCAACATACTTCTTTGCGTCATCTAACATTCTGGGCCACCAAAATCGCTGTACTAAGTTAGCACTTGTTTTCTTGTAGCCAAACTGCCGAGTTGCGCCATGACATTCGCCTAAAAATAAACTACGCAACTGTTCACTAGATGGAACTACCAATCTCTTTACTCCGGCCTTATCAAGATAGATTAGCCCATCCACCATCACAAACTCACTTTTTGTGGCCTTTTGCCTGAAGTTTGCGGATGATGTCCATCGTGACAGGGTCTTCCTGATAGGCTCCCACCAATGATTGAGTTACTTCATTAGATACGCCAAATTCAGAAACTAGCGTACCTAGGTAGTCTGCTCTACGGGATAGCGCGTCTGCAACCTTGTTGTACTCTCCTTTCAG